TGGCCACATGCACCGAGGCTGATGGGTTCGAACCCAGCCCAGGCCGGCTCAACAATGACAATTGCAACAAAAAAATAGCTGGGCATTGTGACAGATGCCTGCAGTCCCAGATACTTGGGAGGCTGAGACAATGGAATCGCTTAAGCCAAAGAGTTTGAGGTTGCTGTGAGCTGTAACGCCATGGCACTGTACCGAGGGTGACATACTGAGACTGTCTCAAAAAAAAAAAAAAAAAGAAAAAGAAAAAATATTTTTACCTAAATAACACAACTCCCCCGTAATTTCTCCCTGGCTTATACACCAATTATGGATACTAAACAGTGGGCCCTATTAGTTACATGCCAGGAACCATTAGTGCTAGGCAAATAAAACACAGAAAGGTCTAAAACTGGAGTTGGGGATGTCAAGGAATGCAGAAGCAAACTTTTTAGGAATTACTTCATAAACATCTCTTAATTCTCATCGGTTCAGATAAAAAGTTCCTGAGAGTTTAAGCAATTTAACCTAGTACTTTGCTATCTTAAGTGTGGACCCTCATCTACCACCAACTGATGATGCTAAAAATGTAGACTCTTGGGCTCAAACCCAGATCGGCATCTTGTCAAAATCTCTAGACAATTCCTATGCATGCTAGCTAAGGTTTGAGACATTTATCCCTATGCTTGTTATTCTGCCTGGTATAACTGAGATTAGGAATAAGCCTGAGTCAAGTATTTAAAAATGGCCTCAGAGGGGCCCTGGCCCCATATATGGAGGGTAATGGGTTCAAATCTGACCCCAGACAAAAAAAAGCCAGTGTTGTGGTAGGTGCCTGTAGTCCCAGCTACTCTACTGCGGGTGACAAAGCCAGAAGGCAACAGATGTAGAAGTTTGAACCAGAATATAGAAATTTACATTTATAAGCAAAGGGGGGAGTGGAGAATCAGTAAGTTCAGCAGAGATTATTTAAATTAGGAACATAAAATTCACCTGAGCTTCCAATTTCATACTAAGGTCACAGAGTTCTTGATTAGGACAAATGATTACCACCAAGCAGACCAGAACTTAAACAGTTAAGATATGGGTCCGCATGAAAGCTCACAGGGATACATGATTTAACTGAGCTTTCCCCAGGTCCAAAGACTTAAAATCTTATCATGTAAAGCCTTTGATAGAGCCATTGACAGGTCTATAGGCCATTTTCCATGTGTCTGGGATACAACTGGGTGATGCAAAATGACTTATGTTCTCCAAAGAGCATGATAACTAGTTTTATTCATTATGTAATTTTGTCTAGGGAAGACTGCATAGTAGTAAATTATCTAAATTTGAAACTTCTTTACATTTCTGAAAGTTTGTATCATTTGCTTTCCTTTTTTTTTTTTTTGAGATAATTTCACTATGTCACCCTGGATAGAGTGCAGTGTTGTCATACCTCACAGCAACCTCAAACTCTTGGGATTAAGTGATTCTCTTGCTTCAGCCTCCCAAGTAGCTGGGACTACAGGCGCCCGCCACAA